CTTCGTCCAAAAAGTCACTCTCTTTCGTTCATCCCGTGTAGGAGCGCTGGTGTGATCGAGAGTTCTGGTCTGCATCTCCCGCCGAAGGAACGCTTATACATCCCGCCTGCTGCAGCTCCTTCCCCCTTCCGCCGCGACGCTCACTCGCTCAGGATACCCATGCAGCCGTCCCGTGCACCCTTGGCGCTATGCTGGCATCATTTCCTTCTGTTGGCTCTTCTCCTCATCCCGCTTGCATCAGCAGTGCCTCAGAATCTCACCTACGGAATTGTCCTCAACTCTCAAGACCCCGCATCCCCTTCCTTCATTCGGGCCATTTCCCTTGCCAAAGATGCCGTCAATGCCGATCCGACCCTCAATCCATATGTATCCGTCTCCCTGAAAACTTACGACTCGATGGGAGCGCCCACCCAAGCCTTCATTGCAGGCATGCAAGCGGTTACCGAAGGCGTTTCGGGATTGATAGGCGAAGCGGACAGCGGGAACACCGAAACGCTTGCTTTGGTGTCCCAGGTCCGAGCCAACATACCGCTTTGTAGCGGAGCATCCACATCTCCAGCCTTGAGCAACAAGACCGAATTCCCCAACTTCTTCAGAACGATACCGAAGGACGACGCCCAGGCCGCGGGCTTCGTCGCGCTCCTGGCGCAAATGGGCTGGAAGCGTGTGGCGATCCTGTTCGAGGGAACGGCGTATGGGCAGGGAATCACTCAGGCGCTCGGAACCGCCAATACCGACACCGGAGCGTTCTCCATCGATGCGCAACTGTAAGTCATATTGTTTCTCTATCGGTTCGATGGGAAGCAAGTGCTGATGCTGTTCCTCGATCCAGATCGTTCAACCCCGAAGACGACGCTCAGATCACCTCACAACTCCGAGCCCTCCTTGCATCTGGTTCTCGCATCATCCTCGCGATCGGAGCCGATACCGCGAACTTTGCGAAGCTCATCAAAATGGCCGCGACGATGGGACTGGTCGGGGACAACTACGTTTGGGTCTTGTCGGACGCCCTATTCCCAGCGCTTCAACAGCTGTCGGATTCTCCGACTACCGCCGACCCTGCCGTTGCTGCCGCCTTGAAAGGAGCGTTGGCGGTTTATCCGAGGGAGAGTTCAGGTCAGGCTGGAATCAACTTTGCGAGCACCTTCGCGACGGGGAACAGTGCGATCCCTTTGGCGCCATACTCCATGTTTTACTACGATTGCGTGCAAGCACTCGTCCGCGCTCAGCTTCCCCTGCTCCCCGCCTTTCCCGTTTTTAACATCGCACAGATTGCTTCGGTCACCTACCCCGGCGTGACGGGCACCCTGGCTTTTACGCCTGCGGGTGACCGCGTCGGTGACTTTCTCGTTTACAACTACAACGGTCACAGCGTTTCCGAAGTTGCCAGCATCAAAGCCCCGACCTACGTGTACAGCCCGTCCACCACCGTCGCGATCACGTTCCACTCCGGTTCATCGAGCCCGCCGCTCGACGCACCCGTCATGAAGGACAACGTGGTAGACTGGACGTCGCCCCTCGCGATCGTCGTCACGGCTGCGTTCGGGATCATGGTGGTGGTGATCCTCGTGTCGGCTGTTGGGATCTTCGCCAAGCGACAGGACGCGGGAATGAGGGCTGCGAGTCCGCTGTTCTGCGGACTTTCGCTTCTGGGAATGCTGCTGGTGTTCTTGAGCGAAGGGGTCGATGTGGGCGCCAAAACTCAGCTACATTGCATCGCGTACCCGGCCCTCTTGAGTACTGGGTTCTTCATCACCTTGGTACGTGCCGGGCTACACTCGTGTCGAACACTGCATTGAGTTGACAAGATGCCTTCTCTTATTCTCAGTGCGCCGTGTTTGTCAAGCAGTGGCGGATCTACCGAATCTTTGAAAACGTTCACCTCATCAACCAGGGCATCAGGGATAAAAAGCTCATCACAATCTTTTCGCTGATGGTCGGAGTTCAGATCGTAAGTTGTCCGCACATAACATTACGCTATTCTTTCTGTCATTTACCTTTTTGGCGCAATAGATCCTCCTCGTCTGCATGATGATAGTGACCCCGTTGCACCCAGTTGCGACGCTGGACAAAATGACGGGACAAACCACGTATTCTTGCGAAGCTACGAACTCATCATTGCAAGGCATCTTTGCGGCTCTCATATTTGCCTACGGTGGTGCGCTGGTCCTCGTCTGTACTTATCTCGGTAAGTCACCAAGACCTCGACCAAGGAATAAGAGCTTGCACTCATGCCTCACACTTGACAGCCATCCGGACGCGCAACGTGTATTCCGCTTTCAATGAAAGCAAATGGATCGGTTTGAGCGTGTACAACATCATCTTGTGTGGTTCTATCGCCATGTGAGTCCAGCTCGAACTTTCGCCTGGCCCCTTGCTGGATCCTGCTTCGTACTTACTCTCGTATTTCTCATCAACTAGCGGCATGACCTACATCGGTGGAATTCCAGAAACTACCCGCTTCGGCGTCCGTTCGGCCGCCGTCTTCTTCGCGGCGACAGTGGTGTACTACACACTGGTGGGCCGTCTTTTCCAGGTCCTCCTCATCTCTGAGAATTCTCGATCGGAGGACCTCGGATCAGGAGCCGCGGCGGCGATGGCGGCCCAGGAAGTCAAGGCGGCCGCCTCCTACGTCCAGCTCGGAGTCGTCACACGCTCGGGTCAGGGACTCGTGGCCGTCCAGATGCGGACGGGAAGATTCCCGATGAGGCAGCAGGGGGTCGTGAACGCGCATTGGAAGACGCACATCTTGAGCGTCGCGTTGGGGGCTGGAGAAAGGACTTTGGTGTTGTTCGAAGTCAATTCTGTAAGTCCAAGTTCGGGGAACATTCAGAGTTTCGGGACCGTTTCGCTCATCTCTTATCATCAGCACGAGGCAGGCGTAGCCGTCCCTCTCACATCCGTTCGAGCTCGTGTGGTTTCATCCGACAGCAAGCCCAGCGACGGTCGAGCACGTCAATACCGCTTCGAGATCAGATACCACACGACGTGCATGGTGGCGCAGGCGTCCACGCAGACAGAGTGTGATGAGTGGGTGTACCTTCTCAACAGCGCCGCCGGAACGGGTTCTCAGGACGACAACCTCCACGGAGGGGAGTCTCCGCTGCCATACTCGCCGACACGCGCAGCACATGGCGGGTCGAGGAGGGAGAACGACTTCGGGCTGCTGCCCTATGCGGCTAGTGGAAGAAGAGGGGGATCTCATGCTCAGGGGGGGAGGTAAGAGCGAGACAGGAAAAGAGCGCGCTGGTACGCGTTTAGTTTAGATGCGTAATGATCGGCGTACGTGAACTTGGTTGAATTGTCTGTTACAATTACATGTTTTGTCCTTCAAAAAATGAAGAGTTTTTGTCGACTAATCATTATTTGCGAATGGGAAGGCCGCCTGGTGCTTTCGACCTGCCCCAAGGCACAAGGGCTGAGTTAAGCCCGACTACAGGGAAGGAGCTGAGATCTCTCAAGCAACAAAGGGATCGTCGTCGTGACAGGCACGGATTCCCACCCTGTCGCCCGGGGGTCGCCAGTCTTTCGAAGAGGGTGGAGTCCAACGAACGGTACGGGAAAGACCGAACAGTACCCTCTGTTCCTCCCTCACAAAGAAACTTTCGCGACGAAAGTCGCGTGCCAAGGGCGTCCACCAGTCGGAACGTATAGAGACTGAGATATGGATCATCCGATCCACACGGAGACATCATCCGATGTGGTGCGTCGTCCCCTTCCATTCCTTCCATGCGCTGATTTCCCCAACCCTTCCTCAGTACGCGCGATCCACCGTGTAACCGTTGGACATGTCCGAGCTCTGCATTCCATGCAGAGTAAGCTCGTTCTACATAACGTAACAAGAAGAGCGTTGGTTCAGACAAGGTTGTGGAACAGATCAACCTTTAGGGATCGGTACGATCGATCGTTACCTCGAACTTTCGCTTGATCTGGGAGATCTCCTTCTGTAGGTTGTTGATGTTGCTCTGAAGGACCTGCAGAGGGGACGTTTCTGGCGTGGTTTGGAGCTTCAGGTCTACCGAGTGATCCAGAGGATGAGACATCTTGTATCCTGCGAAAAGAACCGACTTGTCCTTCAGAAGCTCCCTGCAAAAACGAGTGTCGGAACCGTGAGCCCGCCGCAGAAAAGGGGAGGAATCGGCTCGAACTCGGCTTCGAGGCTTTACATTCTCAGGATGTTTCCCAGGGTGTGATCCTCCTTCTCGAGGTGGTATGTGGCGGCGTTTGGGATCTTTGTGTCTTTGATTTCGGTGACTCTGCGAGGTGAACGGACAAGTACATGAGCCTTCAGTGACAGCCGCAGCGTCCCTTCAACTGCTCGGATTCAAACCTACTTTTGTACACCTTCCGGAAGCAGATATATCTCATGGATTGCAGGTGCGTTTGACATTGTTACGAGGGTGTTTGGATCTTGTTAGTGGTTTGGTCTCCGTCGTGGGGGGTCGTCCTGTTGACACGGTGAGTCAATGTATGTGCTGCACAGCCACATGAGACTCCGTCGTCGTACACCTGCCATGTCACATCGTTCTGTCACATAGTGCAGTACACCAGGGGATTTCACAGTACAGAGCATTTCTCGTAAAATCCGACGTCGAAACTCTTGTGTGTAACTAGTCGCTGTCCAATGTGCAATTTGCCCTGGCATCGGCACAGGGTGACACAAACGCTGGAACTTTCACTGAAAAAGTTCCAGCGCTCGAAAGAGGTCGCCCAGAAGTTTCAGCGTCCCAACTCCTCTGCTTGGCCCCCTTAGAGGAACAACCCCCAACTCGCTGGCTAACACACAAGAGTTGGGACAGAGTCGCTAGCCATACCATTATTTTCTGGTAACGCTGGAACTTTTTTGTCCAAAAGCCGAAAAACGTCCAAAATGGCCTACCGTGAAACACCCTACTGCCTGTACAGAACAAAAAAAAATCATGTTCTTCAAGACCCTTCGCGAAGGTACATGTATATGCAGCAGAGGCAGTATGAGACTTTCACCTCAAGCAAAAGGTGTGCGCACCCGGGCAGGGTTGAACTGCCGACCTTCCGATTAACAGTCGGACGCTCTAGCCAACTGAGCCACGGGAGCAATTGAACGAGAGAACGATATACTTGCCGCTACAAGTTCTCTGCTCATGCTTTGCATTACTGTCAATTTTGTTCCAGGTTCGAGACTCGGACGCCAATGGCCGAATCATGGATGGATTACTTTTACAAGCCCTGCCAAGAGATCTTTGAGAACGTACAGTACACAAATCATGCCGCGAGCAACTGCGCTTCGCTTACGGAAGCACGGAGCATCGCCCCCGACTTCCACGTGGAGATGCCGCTCCCGCTGTTCCATCCGGCTCAGGGGTCCTCCCCTGGACTGTTGGAAAACCAGCAGAAAAAAGTAGTAGCATGTACAACGTACAGTACAGTTGCGGGACACAAGTCCGGAACCCAGTCGATTAGCGCTACCACCGGCGGGTTGCTCTTTGGAAAGGGTTCTTCACTTCTGTCCGCCCAGTACCGTCTGGGTGCCGAAATCATGGTCGGGCTGTCGGACGGTCAGGTCAGAAAATCATTGCCGATCGCTCCCATGTGGCATGTGGGATGGCTCAGGGTCGTACGGGTGGTGGTGGCTCACATTACACCAACCTCGGCAGTCGGCATTCCAGACCTCGGCTGCGGCAGGCCTTGGACAAGGTCGAGAGGACCCAAGTCCCCGGGCCCGGGACGACGGAGAAGATGACGGTAAGCCCTTCTGGACCGAAGGGACCGCTCTCATCCGGGACGTGGTGATCATGCCTTTCCCATGGCGACGACTCGTGCGCAGCAACGGGAGAGACGAGCGAGCGCACGCGCGCGTTAGCACAGAAAGGGGGCTACGTGCACAACACGACTTTCCGTACACACACATGCAGACTGCACCAGGGACCGGAACCATCCGACCCACCATCATCGTGCCATCCCCCCCTGGCCTGCGCGCGCGCCCTTTTCAAGGCTCTCATCAGGGGACGGTTCCGACCTTCCTTGCGCTTTCTTGAATGCCGATTGTTCTCCAGGAGACAATCCTTGCGCTGCTGCCGCCCTTTTCACACAATCCCCCATTCGGCTTTCCCTCCACTTCCTCTCGCAAACAAGGGCACCACTCTCCCTTCCCTCCATCTCTTCTGGCGTCTTCGCCCCCCTTCGTCGCACTCGGCACACCTACCAATACCGTCATATTTCCTAAAGTAAAAAAATTACAACCCTTTATTTTTCCTACCAAGGCTTCCTCTCGGTAACTTTTCCCAACGCCCGCCCCGGACGGGTCGCATACCCGGTGCAGGCCTCGCATCGTCCGTCTGCCGCCAAACGACCGTCGACCCGCGCAGACGGACGGTGCCCGCCGACAGACGCCAGGGCAAAGACCCGCGGTGCGTTCAAGGAACTTCGCAACCCCTACCGTATGCATCGCTTGTCGTTCTCCACCGGCGATGGATGTTCATGCTCTCTGCATATGTCTTGTCTGTGTGGCGAGCTGATCGCCTTTTACTAACGACGCTCTTCTTCTCTTCTTGCGAAAAATTAGGGTCAAATAGCACCAACCTCGCGTACACAAACGCACGCTAGTGACGCTACCCTCACCTTGACGACGGAACGCTTCAGCCGTCGTTAAGGGGCCCCCTCGTTTGCTACTTTGGGCATAACACCTCATCTCTGTTCATCCCAAGCACTTTGCGTGAGACCGAGCGCCCGCATTACCGTGCGGCCCTCCGTTTCGTCTTCGTTTTTCGCCCCCACCGTCAGCCCGCTCTCCATTCTGCGGCTTACCAACACCCAAACTTCTGCCCAACGCCCACGATTTCCCGCCATTTTCCCGTTGCGCGGCCCCAGCCTCACTTACCGCATCCGTCATAGATTCCTTGAAGCCGCGGCACGGCCTCTGTTTCGGACTTGTGCATGGAGAGAAACGAGGCGGAGGGCCGTCAACACACCTCCGGCGAGACTGCTGCAGGTGCAAGCGGCAGCCTTCTCGGCGACTGGCAGCCACGGCCTTCCAATGCGGACGAGGGCGAGCAGTATACCTCTCGGGCACGGTGGGGCAACGCATCCGCCCATGGCTCGGGCGCGATGCCTACGAGCGCGCTTGTTTCGTCCGAAACTGCCTTCCCTAATGTTCGTAGTCATTCATCTCCTTACTTGGACATTCTTCTTCGTCAGCCCCATCCCACGTCGGCGGAGCTTCCCCATGCTTCAGCCAACGCTGATGCTGTGCAGGGCGGGCACATTTCTCCGGATCAAAAGGTCCCGCTATCGTTCGATTCGTCTCCGTACCGTCTATATGACCGTGCTAACCAGCAGAGGCAGATGTCGAGCAAGATTTCCGCATATCCTCGGCATCTCCATCCGTCAGTTCCTCCGGCCGCACAACCTCAACACCAGCATCCCGCCTGGGACACATGGCCGGGAAATGGTCCATCGCCCGTTAGTTTTTCGAACATGCCCTTACGCCCTTCATTTCCAGAGGGGCGGCCCAGTCAACTCATTGCGCGACCGTCGCAGCAGTCGTCGCCGTCTTTGGCGGATGCAAACCGAGATTACCCCATGCACACACCTTCACGGCCGCCCGAGCCTTTGATCTCCGATCCTCGAGGACGGTTGCCCACTATCGACACCCGAGGAGCTTCATCAAGTGGTGGCGATGACTACGAATCACAAGTGAGTCAACAGCAATCGCCTTCGCAGCCGAAGTCGAAATCACATGCCGAATTGGGCTCTCCTCCGTCGCGAGATACGCAGCAAGGAACTCTGCTTCTGTCGAATCAACAGCAGCAGCATTGGCGGGGTTCTGCGCATCAACCCTCCCCATACCCTTACGCTCAACAACTGCAGCAGCAGTCTCACCTACATTCACCTTCGCCGACTTCTGGGGCGCAACGCTCTCAGCAGGGCTTGCATCAGCAACAGCGTTCTCAGTTTCCAGGTGCTATCTTTTCCCAGCGCTTGCAATCGGCGTCGCCTACACAACCGTTACGGTACCCGCAGCAGCCGCCATACCGAGAGTCGTATACGCATGGTCCCCACCGTGATCAGCAACCTCTCAGTGATCCTTTACGACAAGACCAAGAATACCAGCATCAGCAAAATCAGCAATATTTTGGACAACACCAGCGCCAGCAGCAGTTCCAGCATCATCCGCAGCATCACCAGCCGTACCCTCCGCCACATCGCCTTGGTCCATCAGGGTACCCTCCAGCATATCCTCAAGATCTGATCTCGTCGCCGTCCACAGTTCAGCAGCGCCGTGATTCGCGCGAGGATGACATGCAATCGCGATACCGACAAGAGCAGGCGTACTCTTCCCCGCAAGATTCCTACCGCCTATCCTATGGTCCCTACGACCAATCTTTGCACGCAGACGGCGCCAGCGGGACGGCTCGATATCAGATGCCACCAAAACCTCGCCATGTCCGGGCAGGATCTTATAGTGAGTGTCAACAATCCTGCAATACCGATTGTTTGCTGCAGCGTTATTGACACTCCATTTTGAAGATGCCGTCGCCCCTTCAGCACATTCTCCGCATGCTGACATCTATCCACGGCCGCCTTCGGTAGTGCCGTCGGAACCAACGCATCGTACGTCCCCAGCACATGTCGGTTTTGGCAGCTGGGGCAGCGATCCCGCACAGCTTCCACCTCGACCCATGTCCCCCGGCTCGACTGACTTGCAGGTGGGCGCGGCTAGCCAGTCATCCCGAATAGTTACGCGACGTAAGAAGACGAGTTTGGAAGAGGAAGGCTACTGCTGTAGGTGCAAGGTCCACATCGGGACGCTCGTCCTTCACGGAGCTCCCCTCCAGCTCATGGCTCCTCACGTCGTGGAGCTCCGCTGCATGAAATGCGAGTTCGGATACAGTGTAGCCTATGAAACGGCTGCCGCTCCGCCTACTCGACGTCGGAGGAAGCGTGTTCAGACATACGGACCTGGCGCCGAGCTCGACTGCGACGTTTGCATGAGGAGAGTGGGTTCCGGAGGCGTCCGAGCGCCGTTCGAAGGAGAGGATATGTCCGACGATCCGAGCGTTCCAAGACCCAAGAAGCCCAAGGGTCGATCCAGCAGTAACGGCGGAGCGCAAGACTGGGTGGAACCCAGCTTCGATGTCGAGGTCATTTGCACTTCATGTAAAGCGAAGTACGCCCTGTGCACCGAATGTGGCGGCGGAGGTAAGCGGCCTTTAGGCGATGTCTCGCTGTCGAACTGAAGCTGACCTCAACACCAGGCACCTTCAGGACAGGGAAGTGGAGACCAATCGAGCTCTTCCCACTGGGCAGAAAGACCTGCAGCCTCTCGCATCTTCGAGTGGGTCCAGGGGCCCCGATTGATATCCGATGCTGGGAGTATCCGAAGGAGCTTGAGCTTGAGCCACCCCCAGAGAGTCTAGCGCTCAATGCGCTACCGCATCCACCGACTCATGAAGATCTTCAACGTATTCTTTTCGCAGAGCTTCAGGAAGTGTATGAAGATGGTTTCATGACCAACCTTGCGCTACCGACCGTTATGGAAGGTCTACCCGTCGTCAGCTCCTGGGAAAACATCACTGCTCGATTTCGCCGAGCTTGGGATGAGGCCCAGTCCGGCTTGACAACCCAAGTTGATGGCGTCAGGGTCTTTCTAGCGGTGGCATGGATGAGTACTGCGGCCTCGGGACGGCATCGCGGAGGCAAGAAAGGAAAGGCCTCGCATCATGGAATCGGTGGTGGAAGAGGTTCCTCGGTTGGACTTCCGCCGAACACCAGTCTAGCAGGAGGCCAACCTGCTCCATCCCCAATTCCAGATCCTTCCGAGATACCCGACCCTGCCCGAATGATGGTATCGTTCATCACTGCGAAGTGGAACGTCCGTGAGTCATCCGTCCTCCTCATGCCCGCAGCTGACCGTGGTACCGACCCGACCCCAAACGGCATCACAGCCGAACTCCTTCGTCGCGTTCTCACCCGCGTTCAAGCCGACGCGAGCCTCGACGACGGCGTCACACCTGTCCTGCCACCCGTCAAGCACGTGTGGTGCTATATGCGGAACCCGGCCGTTACGACGTCCCTGTACCCCAACCACAACGAGGC